GTATTATAGATTGTCCATGACTATTAACCACTTAACCAGGAAGTGTTTTAGATTGTCTGAGATTGTTGTAGATTGTCCGAGAGAGTTGCACATGGGCATTGGAATTATCAAAGATGGAATTGTGCTATCAAATTGCAGACGTACTTATATTACACCACCAGGAGAAGGTACTCTCAAGCCCATTTTAGCAATAGGACAACTATTGTTCACAAATATTTGATTTGGTTATTAAAACATGCTGTATAATTGTTCGCAGCAATTGATATCTTGCTACAATTAACATTTTAAATACTCTTTTATACATGATTATTGTTTGCACATGATCTAAGAGTGTTGCAGATTGTCTGAGGGTGTTGTGGATTGCCTGAGTGTATTTCAAATTATATGACAGTGTTGTAGGATGTACAAGAGGGTTGTAGATGGTCTGGAAATGTTGTAGATTGTCTGAGAGTGTCCAGGAGTGTTGTAGCTTATTCGAGAGTGTTGTAGATGGGCAGGGGATGTTGTACATTGCCTGAGAGTTTTGTAGGTTGTCTTTGCATATTTGATAAAAATAAAGCAACAAAAACTTTGTTTAAAAATCCGTGGATAGATATCTTTGAATATTTCATTAGATTAAAATGGCAAAAACTTTATTTAAAAATCCATGGATAGATATCTAATATCTAAGAGTGTTGTATATGGTGTGGAAGTGTAGTAAATTGTCTAAGAGTGTTGTAGATTGTGTGACAGTGTTGTAGGTTGTCGAGTAATGTTACAGATGGTCTGACAGTGTTCTAAGATGTGCCAGGAATGTTGTAGATGGTCTGGAAATGTTGTAGATTGTCTGAGATTTTTGTAGAAGTTCTAAGAGCGTTGTAGTTTATCTGAGAGTGTTGTAGATGGTCTGAGAGTGTTGTACATTGTCTAAAAGAGCTGTAAATTGTCTGAGAGTGTTGTAGGTTGTCCAAGAGGGTTGTAGATCGTGTAAGAGTGTTGTAGCTTGTTCGATAGTGTTGTATTTTGTCCGAGAGTGTTGTAAATAGTATAAAATTATTTGTAGATCGCCTGAGAGTGTTGTATATTGTATGAGAGTGTTATAAGTTGTCCAAGAGTGTTGTATGTGGTCTGGGTATGTTGTAGATTGTTTGAGAGTGTTGTAATTTGTTTGAGAGTATTGTAGATTGTCTGAGAGTATTGTAGAAGTTCTAAGAGTGTTGTAGCTTATCCGAGAGTGTTGTAGATGGTCTGGGAGTGTTATACATTGTCTAAAAGTGCTGTTAATTGCCTGAGAGAGTTGTAGGTTGTCCAAGAGTGTTGTAGATGGTTTAAGAATGCTGCAGCTTGTCCGATAATGTTGTATTTTGTCCAAGAGTATTGTACAATGCCTGGGAATGTTGTAGGTGTAGTGCTGTAGGTTGTATAAGAGTGTTGTAGATGGTCTGAGAGTGTTGCAAATTGTATGAGATTGTTATAGATAGTCTGAAAGTGTGGTAGATTATCTTTTAGTGCTGTAGATTATTTCAGAGTGCTGTAAGTTGTCCAAAAGTGCCTCAGGTGATCTGGGTGTATTGTAGATTGTCTGAGAGTGTTTTAGAAGTCCTAAGAGCATTGTAGCTTATCCGATAGTGTTGTACTTAGTCTGGGAGTGTTGTAGATTGTCTAAAAGTGCTATAAATTAACTGAGAGTGTTGCAGGTTGTCCCAGAGTGTTGAAAATAGCGTAAAATTAATTGTAGATTGTCTAAGAGTGTTGTAATTTGACCGATAGTGTTGCATGTTGTCCAAGAGTGTTGTAAGATGGTCTGGGAGTGTTATAGACTGATCGAGAGTATTACAGGTTGATTGAGATTGTTGTAAATAGTATAAAATTGATTGTAGTTTATCTGAGAGTATTGTAGATTGTATGAGATTGTTGTAGATTGTCTAAAAGTAATTGTAGATTTTGTGAAAGGGTTGTAGAATGTCTGAGAGTTGTAGATGTAGATGGTAAAAAAGTTTTGTATATGGTAAAAGAGTATTGTAGGCTGTCCAAGAGTGTTTTTAGGTGTCTGTGAGTGTTGTATGTTGTCCAAGAGTGTTATAGATTGATCTAGAGTATTGTAGGTTGATTGAGAGTGTTGTAAATAATTTAAAAGTAATTGTACAATGTCTGAGAGTGTTGTAATTTGTCTGAGGGTGTTCTAGATTGTCTAATAGTGTTGTATATTGTCTTTGAATGTAGTAGGTTGTATGACAGTGTTGTACATTATCCAAAAGTGTTGTAGGATGGTCTGGGAGTGTTATAGATTGTCTGATAGTGTTGTAGAATGTCTAGAAGTGTTGTAGTTTGTCTGAGAGTGTTGTAAGATAATTTGGGAGTGTTATAGATTGATCGAGAGTATTGCAGGTTGATTGAGAGTCTTGTAAATAATCTAAAAGTAATTGTAGATTATCAGAGAGTGTTGTAATTTGTCTGAGGGTGTTCTAGATTGTCCAAAAGTGCAGCAGGTGGTCTGAGTGTGTTGTAGATTGTCTGAGAGTGTTATTATTTGTCTGAGAGTGTTATTTTGTGTATTGTATAAGAATGGCGCTGTTTGTCTACAAATGTTACACCTTTTATGCAAAAATTATTGTATAAGTACTCAGCAAACAATTGCTATCTTACTTATCATATTACCATAATATCATTGTAAATTTTATAGATTTGGATACTTCTCCAATATGATCACTAACAGAAATGTCCACTTGGTACATAAATACTTGCTGCTAAATCGAAAACCAATCTGATACTCGATGGTATCATACAGAACCATCAGTACAAGATTCTTAAAATCCAAAATGTGTGTCGTAACATTATTCTTCCCTTCATTGCATCTCTAGTATATATTTATACATAAATTCTAACACTGCTTATAGTATGTGCTGATGCAGAACTCTCTTGGCTAAATTGTGGGTCCTTTTTGAAGGCCTTTTGGAGTCAACTTTGCTGTATAGGTCTGTTGTTACTGAATTCTGCTGATCGGGCACAACTAAAAAACAAATATAAATGTATATATATATATATATATATATATATATATATATATATTAGGGTGGTTCTTAAAATGGTCATTTTCGAATTTCCTTGCTCCCAGGGGCTCAAATGGTTCCAAATAGATAAAAAACAATTCTCTGAAAGTTTTAGCTCTTGATATTAACGTTTAGATAGAGCGCAATTCAATCAAAGTTTTGTATGGAAATAGCATGGAAAAATTTTCAAAAATTTAAAACATGTTTTTTAGATGTATTTTACCGAACAAATGAATGAATAAAACTCATTCATTTGTCGCTAAGTAATACCTAAAACATTTTTTTTAAATTTTCAAAATTTTTTCCATGCTCTTTCCATACAAACTTTGATTGAACTGCGCTCTATCTAAACGTTAATATTAAGAGCTAAAACTTTCAGAGAATTGTTTTTTATCAATTTGGAACCGTTTGAGCCCCTGGGAGCAAGGAAATTCGAAAATGACCATTTTAAGGACCACCCTAATATATATATATATTATTTGTATATATATTTATATATTTATCTGTTACCTGGACTTTGTACAGTTTGTAAACTCCTGGCTCGATGAAGAGATAATCTTAAAGGCTTTTTTGGAGGTGTAGGTCTTAGACTATTTGCTGAACATCTATATTAAAAATAATAATAAATAATAATAATAATAATAATATATATATATATATATATATATATATATATATTAATTGAAAATAAGCCCATCTTGGGCACTGCGGTGTGAAATGGAAATGGGAAAAATTCTAACACTACTTCTTCCCTAAATCGAGTTCGAGTTTAGCCCAGCTTATAGACCTGCCTTAGAGCAGTACTACCCATTATATTTTATATATATATATATATATATAATATATATATATATATATATGGAAAAGCGTGGTCCATATGTAATACCAAAACTGTAGAAATAAGGTTGTTGATATTTGATGTATTTTATTTTATGATTAAATATTGACAACACTATGTGTAATCATATTGATCATTTATAAAATGTAGTTAGTATTTGCGTATTTACAATTAAAAAGAAAAGTGTTTCAAGAATTATAATTTTGGCAATTAGACTAGGGAGAAACAATAGAGAGATCTGAACTGACAAATAAACTTTTGTTTTTGCGCTGACACTATGATGAGCCCAAAATAATATACATCAGTCAAGTTGAGATGCGACGTGTGTTGACAGGTCGCTACATATATATATATATACATATACATATATATATATATATATATATATATATGTGTGTGTGTGTGTATATATATATCCTTTACCTCTCGAATTCCAAACTCTTGGAGCTCCTCTCGTCCCACCGATGGTCCATCGAAGTCGCCTCGGCCCCATTGCTTAAGACTTCGGCTCTTTCCGCCTTATCGAATCTCATATCAATAATCTTCCGATTATCGATCGAATTGATGGGAATGGAAATCGGTTCATCAGCGCTCCTGGCTGATGAATAGTGAAACAACTGCTTTGTCCTGGAACGGCGCTTCACTTCTGGTCGCTCTGGACGAACCTGGGTAAAGGATAGATGTTTATTATATCTCTTGTAACTTTTGAACCATTCGATTAATATGAATGTTGCTTTCGGGAGATTTGTATAAAATTAAATTATCTACAATACAGCCTAACAAAATATTGACCTGCAGCAACTTGGTATACCTTAAAATCTCAAATAAAAATAGTTATTGTATGAACACTCATGCTGATGCATCTATTTATTACATCTCTTGTAACCTCTAAACCATTTAATTAATATTAATGATGCATTTACGATTTTTTTACAATATTACCGGAGGCGTCCTAGGATTCGTCATCCTGCTCCCATCATACTGCATATCTGCCCCCAATTTGACACCATTCTCACAAACATCACCATTAACAACTTCACCATTCATCTGGTCACCATTAACATCAGTTTTATTCAAACTCTGGCTTGAATTCATCAGACTTTCGTTCTTGAGGCGGTTAATACGTTCCTCCTGACTCAAAAATTGAGTTTCTCGCGCGTAGTTCTTTGTGAAAGTGTTATTTTTGTCCACAGAATTCGAGGAGCACCTTGACTCACTTCTAGACTCTGAATTTATGGATCTGCTGTCCATGGTGGATTTTCTCCAATCAGGAGGAAAAGTCTAAAAACATAAGATATTTAGTGAATTTCTAAATTTTTGTTTGTATCTATTTCCCTACCTCGTCCATTGGGTGATGTTGTTTAACAATTTTTCCTCTCAGCAAAGTTGCAACTTGTGAACCCCTTCGGAAGACTTCTACAGTTTCAGGAACTTCAAAACCATTAGACAATGGTTTTGGAGTGAAGTCTGTGTTTGGTTTTGCTGGTTCATTATTGGTAATTAAGGATCTTTGGTAAGTTGGTTTTGGATCATTGGTTGGCATTGGATTGATGTTTTTGTAATTAGGATAATTAGTGGGATCATTAGAAATTGGACTAACTTGTTGATTGGTTTGGACAAAATTGATACCATGAGGATCTATTGAACTTGGTTCAATAAAAGTGTTGTTAAAATTAGATTTGTTATAATTTATATCATCTCCAGGTTTGTTTCCAATGATAAGTTCTACAGTTTCCACATTTCCTCCTGGATTTCCATCCTGGTTACTCAATTCTTTTGCAATCTCATTATTTTGTGGTGCAGGATTGTCCTTTGCTTCCTTCAAATTTGGTTTACGGTCCAAGGAATTTGCAGGATTCAAACTGTCTGTTACATTTATTGATGTTATGTGCTGATCTTTGGCTTGGAGTTCACGTACCTGGAAAAAAGTAACAATAACCAGGTGTATATGGCATCTTGCCTCAAGGCAAGTGGCCACATAATAAATAAGAATTGATATTTAGCCAAGAGCTGTAGAATTTTCCTTTTTCTCCTTACCTGTTCTTCCAAATAGCATATCCGATGGGTCAACCTCAAATTATCAGCTTTAAGTCTACGATTAGCACTATTTGAAGAACTAGTCAGTGTAGTACTATAATTACTGTCCAAATTTTGACTGTGACTCCTTCTCGGTCTCAAGACTACAATTTCTGCTGGATCATAAGACACTGCCAAAAGTCTTGAGAGTTCATCCAAAGTCGAGGATTGGGAGAGATTTCTGGATGCTCCTAAGATTTTACCATTGACTTCTAATAATCTAAAATAGGAAAAGGAATTAAGACACTGCACGCACAGTCACACCCACATATAAATTTTTATTTCAGTGCAAAATGGACCAAAAGTAGCCATTTTCATCAATCAATCATTTACCTATCTCCTTTCCTTAAAGGTTCTCCTTCGGCAGCCCAATCTATATACAATCCAAAATTGGTCCCATCTTTATTATTATTATTGTTATTATTAAAAGTGACACCCCATCTTGGTCTCGAAGGATCACAAGATACAGTAACTGCCACCAAAGATAATTGGACGCCAGTTTTTAGCCAACTAAAAAGGAAACACAATACAATAAGTTAATTTGTCCTAGTGTACTTATTATACAGGTACATACCTGAATATTGTTCTTTTCTGCTCAGGAGACCCTTGAGCTTGTTCAATACGTCCCTGGAGAGACCTCAATTCTTCAGAAATGGATAACAAGTCTAATTCTTCCCTGCCCAGGGCGTATTCTAACTCTGCCTGCTTGATCCGGACATCAATGTTGCTAAAATGGTAAAAAAAAGATGTTGCTTAATGGATATTTTGTTGCTATAGGCTGGTGTACTTCTTACTATACACCAACAAAATGTATCTATCCTAATAATTTCAATTCATATTTACTCTGTAACATCCAATTTCCTCAAAGCCTTCTTCAGTTCCCCAATTGCGTCCTTTTTCCTATCAGCCTCCAATTTTAAAGTGGCCAATCGTCTTTTGGCGATCACTCTTTCAGCATCACTCATCTGCAAATTGGATCTCTGCTGATTCAGCAGATTAATTGAGTCGTTCTTATGCTGCTTCTTGTGATTTCCTGAAGAATGTAGGGACGAGGTTGGGGGATAGTGGACTCCTAATTGGGCTCTTAGACTGGAATAGAAAAATTGGTGTAAATATTAGGGGAAGATGATGGTGGTTGAGTTGTCTAAAAGTTATCTAAGGAAAGTCATATAGCAATAATAGATAGATAAGAAGATATGTCCTAATTTTAAAAATGAATCACAACATTTTGGCAACAGTAAGCCAAAAATCATCTAAGAAGAATTCATAGATATTTCAACAATCTAAAACTTATCTAATCCCACTTTCTACCTCCAACTTCTATTTTGCCTTAACCTAACCAAAATAATCTTCTCCTTTACTCACTTATGTATCACAGCATCCCTATCTTGCAGAGCGTTTCTCAATCCTTCCAATTCACTTGTGCTTTTGGAACCTGTGGAATACAGTCTGGGTGCAGAACCTCCGTGGGAATTTGTTAAGGAACCTCCTGTAGTCGAACCAGGTACCAGATTCTGAGAACCTCCACAAAGAGACCCACTGAGAGAACCACCAGCATGGCGCCTTCGAGGGGATTTTGAAGAGCTCACCAGGGAGGAAAGGTCCATCTGAGGAAAAGATAAATAGATAGATAGATAAATAAATATATACATAGATAAATTAATATTGAAAATAATTTTATTATTTGTAATATATCAAATTAATAAACAAATAAATCATGTATGATTTGGTAAATACATAAAATATACTGCATCTGCAAATTTAGTCATAATAATTTATATATTTAAGAGTATTTTAGCAAATTTACACCTATCTACTATAATTACTGTAGCCTGAAGAGTTCGTTAAAATGGGAGCTTGAAAATATTATACTAGCTGACCCGGCAAACGTTGTTAGCCATAAAAAAATCTCTAGAAGATGTTTATTAGAAAATTTGCTGATTGCGAATATATAAGTGTGTGGTATATATGAAAAAGAGGAAGCTAACACAAAGTATGAATAGTTTACTCGCTGCAAAGCATGCCACATATAATGTTTCAGTATATTAATAGTCATTACAAGTGCCAAATTAATCTGAAACTTATTTTATTTAAATTGATTTGGCACATTAAGATATTCAAGGTTTTTGGTATAATATATATACTAGCTGATACGGCAAACGTTGTTTAGCCATAAAAAATATTTCTAGAAGATCTTAACTAGAAAATTTACTGATTGCGAATATAGAAGTGTGTTGTATATAAGTAAAAGGGAGAGGTAACACAAAATATAAATGGTTTGCTCACTGCAAAGCATGCCACATATAAATGTTTCATTATATTAATAGTAATTGCAAGTGCCAATAATCTGAAACTTATTTTATTTAAATTGATTTGGCACATTTAGATATTCAAGGATTTTGGTATAATGTATATATACTAGCTGACCCGGCAAACGTTGTTTAGCCCTAAAAAATATTTCTAGAAGATATGATGCCACTATAAAACTTGCTGATTTCGAACGTAGAAGTGAGTAAAAGAGAAAGCTAACACAGAATATATGAATAGTTTACCCATTGCAATGCATACCACATATAAATATTTCTGTATATTAACGTACCAAACTAATCTGAAACTGATTTCATTCAAATTATTTGACAAATTTAAAGATTTAAGGCTTTGATCTACCATCACTTCGTTTTTCATTAACCCTTTCCACTCGGATGCCGCCGCTCCGGTGGCAAGATACATATAAATCTCGCAATTCGCGAATGCAAAGGGTTGATTTATTAATTTTTGAATTACAAATCAAAATCCAAACATTCATTTTTGAATTAAATTTATATCAAAAACTTTGTGGAAAATTTTACAGGTAAATTGTTTTTTTGTTTTACAGGCAATTTTGCTAAAAAACTGTTGTATCTTCAGATTTGAAAATTTATCTATATTTGTTTTGCTGAAATTTTTATTTTTGCATGCCTATCATAAACTATATAAAGATGTACTGTTTATGCGCATCGGTAAATATTTGTACAATGGGATAATAGGGGTGGGCAACCCTTGATATATATTTTTTTTGTTTTGAGTAAAATTAATACTCAAGAGAATATTGAATTGAAATTTAGTAAAATAAAGCATCAGCTGGTGTTAGAATTAACTTTAGTAACTCTATTACTAAAATGACTAAAAAGAAAATTGGGGTGGACAATTTGATTTTTTTGAGTAAAATTAATACTCAAGAGAATCTTGAATTAAAATTTAGTAAAAAAAACATTCATTGACTAAAAAGTTGTGGTGAAAAATGATTCTATTACTAAAATAACCGTTTAAAATAGATATTTGTGTAAGGAGGGTAAAAATGTAGCATTTTTCAATTCCGCATTATAAAATTTAAGGATAAAAGAAAATTGGTACCAAAATTTAAAAAAAGTGGTGGTAGTTGACAATTACAGTGGCATAATAGAGGTAGACAACCCATTTTTTTTTAGTGAAATTAATACTCAAGAGAATCTTGAATTAAAATTTAGTAAAAAAAACATTCTTGACTTGAATAATAAACATTCTATTGAATAAGTGGTGAAAAATGATTCTATTACTATGACTAGTAGAAAATAGAGATTGGTGTAAGGAAGGTAAAAATTTAGTATTTTTCAATCCGAATTATAAAGATTAAAGATGAAAGAAAATTGGTACCAAAATTTAAAAAAAAGTTAGGGGTGGCCAACACTTAAATCAATTAAAGCAAATAAATAGTTTTTTGAAGTATAAAGAGTTCCATGTATTATTCAATTTATATAGAAAACTAAAATAAAGAAAATTGGTCCCAAAATTTTGAAAAAAATGTTGAGGGTAGACAACCCTTGATAAAAATAAATAGTATTTTGAAGTAAAAAGAATTGTATGTTCCGCATTATTAAAATTAAAGATTAAAGAAAGTTTGTCCCAAAATTTAAAAAAAAGTGGTGGTAGTTGACAACCCTTAATAAATATAAATATAAATTTCCATAAACTCAAGAATCTGTATTAAAATTAAGTTACATTTAAGTGAAATATATTTAGACTACTAAAATGATTTTTACTAAATATAGTGGTTTGTGGTAGGAAGGTGAAAATTCAGGATACTCAATAAATATCTACTAAAATGCATAAAAATCAATCTATTATTACCTTCGGTGCAATATTTTCGATTTGTGTCATCTTGGAGCTTTTTGAAAAAACCTAAAATAAAAAAAATGAATCAAAATTAATATAAATCTTTTATTTTGTAAAAAAAAAATATCCTAGCAAACGTTCGCATCGAAACATTTGAATACAGGTAAAGAATTTTCCTGAATTCAATTTTGCGAATTGAAATAGTGAACAAAAATTTTGAATTGTTTATAAATAAACAAATAAATTTGTTTAAACAAATAGTTAAAGTTTGTGAAGATTTTGGAAAGTTTGTTCGTGTGAAGAAATTTCGGGAAGAACAAACGAGGTGAGTAAAATTATGTAGTTTGAAAAAATTGTTTGTCGTTTTTTTGAAAAATTTAAATTTATAACAAATTTGTATATTTTGGCAATTCAAAGTTTGCAAAATATTTAATAAATTTAGCAAATTTTAAATGCCTAATTTTGTGAAAAAATCAGAAGTCTATACGTCAAATTTTATTTTGATTTTCGATTTGACAGCAAACCCCGTCAAGACGATTTCCCAGGAACGCGTCTTAAGCGAGAAATAGTATTACGCGGTATAGGGACAATTATGTCAAATTTAAATAAATCGTGAAGGCTGTCTTTATCGATTGTTTTAGGTTTTGAATGTCATTTATCAATGCGATTTTAAAGTATACCGAGTTGTTGTAAGGTGTTTTATTATTAGACAGTATTGTAGATAATTTAATTTTAAATAATTTTGCCAAATGCATCATTCATATTAATCGAATGGTTTAAAAGTTACAAGAGATATAACTAGTGTTTTGAAAATTATGATTTTTGAAGTAAAACTTCTTTAGGCGCGACCAGGGTGCAAATCCGTACAAATGCAACGGAAATAGCGTTACGCCCGAACTGTTCGTCATTCGCTCTCGATGAGATCATTTCTATACGGGTCGATTGTGATTAGTCGTCGTGTATGTGAATAGAGATCTGTCGTTGTATGCGTACCGGCATCAACGTTGTATGCGCATCGATATTAACAAGGAAATCGGTATAGATAAATAAACATTTTAAAGTTACATCGTAGTACAAATCTTGATTTATTATTTACTTGAAATATTTTACCTTGTTCCTTAAAAATAATAAAACAAATTAAACATTTGGGCCGTGTACTAAACTTATAAGTTTATTGATAAGAAATTATTTCTATATTATTCGTAGTTTCTATAAATCTTTGAAGTTTGTGAACTAATATTATAGAATTTTTAATCAGCAATTACTTCACTTCTCTAATGGCGGTTTGTTTCTAAATGCTATAATTACAATGACAAACCGATCATGTCATATTTGAAGAATGACTTTAATTATATTTATGTTTTTAAATATTATACATATTTTTAATGCTATTATAAATATAAAATTTATGATTTATCATTATATAAATGTGTATAATGGTTGACACTAATAAATATGTGCATCACGAGTGTTACCATATTACTAATAAACATTCTTCACAATTGTTATATGATGTATTTATTTTTACTTAAATGCCATCTTATGCAGTAGCAAATAAGTTTTACTTCAATCGCGTGTGAATCTTACGCGCACTCTTTTTTTAAATACTGATAGTTTTTGAAATCTTGAAATTTTTTAGAATCTATCGATTCATCCCAGATTTTTTTTTCTGCGAGTTAATCCCGAAATTTGCATTACATTCGTATTTTTGTACAGATCACCATGCCCAAGAGAAACCGAAGAAAAAGTAAGCCGCGCAAGATCAGCTTAGAAGACATCAACAATAATCTGCAGGATGACGAACCAGACGATGAGGATTTCATACAATTTAAGTTTATCGCACACAACTTGGACGAGCAACCTCCAATCGACCAGAATTTGGTAAACCAAGACTTTGTTCATCAAGTTCCACCTAAGCAAAAGTTGATCGACGAGAATATTCCCTTGACCAACCAGGACCAAGAGATGGTTGTCCAACAATTGCCTGACATAGACAAGCATCAGAATTTGATCAACCAAAACGACAATCAGCAATTTTGTAACAATAAATTGATTGGTCAGCAAAAGCAATTAAACCAAGAGCACTTGGAAAATGAGGGATCAGAAGTTATTAATCAAGGCAATAACTTGGAAGATGGTGCATTAGAAGTTATTAATCAAGGCGACCAGACTTTGCTGGATGAAGATTCGGACGTGGATGTTTGTGCGTTGGATCCAGTCGATCCTTTTGACTTCATCTTTGAAGAAGATAATGATTATTACAATAGAACACTTAATCCAAACGTAATTGCAAAAGACATGTTCACGAAATCCAAAGAAGTCAAATGCAATGATACCCAAGGTTTGTTGTCAATAAGTATTGTTTTTTTATATTTTAATTTATTTATTTTTTCCAGATGGTGCAGACCACAATCTTGCTACTTGCCAAAATAGCTCCTTAGAGGATAATGTTTTCACACAGGATGAAGTTGTTGATATAGTACCTCATCCTTGCGTCAACACTTCTCCAAATCCAAAAACTCGCTCCACAAAACGTAAATCACCAATTACTGAAAACAGTGATGATGCTGAGGTGGTTCGGATGTCTAAAAAGATACCAAGAAAGACAGGACGTAAAAAACCAAAATACAAATGCCAAATTTGTGATCAGGAGTTTGATTTAAAGAGATCCTTAAATGCTCACATAAAATCTCACAAAATACCATGCAAACCGAAAGTTAAAGTTGAACCCAAAAAGAGGAGATTATATGATTCTGAAGTTGACAATTTGGATTTAGACAATCGAGGTATATTTGTGCCATCCTGCAATAGCGAGATGTTCCAACAAAATCAGGACCAGAAACAAATTGTAATTGAAACCACTGATAGAGAAAAATCAGAGGAAAAAGAAATTGATGTTGTACAAAATAAGGAGAATCATTATATAGGAAGTTTCACAAGTAAATTTGTGACTCTGCATAATCCTTCTTTTTGGAGCAATCCAGACTATGCTAGAGACCAGATCTCTGGCACAAATTTAACGCCGCCTAAACCAAACAACGTTCTGCAAAAATCACCTGATTTGAATTTGTTTTACAATGTCTTATCGAACAAGAAAACTGAAAAAATATCTGCATCCACATCAACATCTGGTACAAATAAAATCAATAATAATTCGACGACTGCTTTTCGTGCTAAAAAATATGTGATTAGTGCAAGGCATTATCCAACTTCATCTGCAGCTATATCTGTGCAATATTGGGAAGCAAAGAATTGTATAAAAAATCCACCAGAATCTAACAATTTGAATGCTCACATGATGGATGATGACAATTCATCTATAGATGATCAAGATGTTGGAAATGAACAAAATGATAACTCAGCACAAAAATATATCAAACAAAATTTTGTATCACGTCAAAAATACATAAACCAAAATTTAGACCAACCATCCAATACACCTTGTGAATCTCCTGAGAAATCAATTCCAAAAAGTCAGAACACCACATATTCCTCTAACTTACAAGAATCATCCAAACTAGAAATCCAGGACCAACCCTTTGTGGTAAATCACGATCAAGTTTACACAACACCAATAAATTTGAACCATAAAAACCATGAAATTCGAACTAGAATTATTCCCATTGCAGACAATCAGGATTCAAATAAACAATTTAATGTACATTGTGCATCTACTGAACAAGAACATCAATCCATCCCACGCAATGTCAACGTGTCCCAAGATAATAATTCGAATATAATAGATTCATCCAATTCGAAAATTTTAACCAATGTAGAAATCCAGAAACAACTGTTATTGGTAAATCGTGAACGACTTCTCGCGAGATCATCAAATTTAAATAAAGTGAAACATTTAAGACATAAACGAATTATTCCTATTGGTAATGATTCAAAAATTATGTCTAATGCACCAAATAGACAGCAAATGTGTCAAAATCCGCTAACTCTAATGCCAAACCCCAACTTAATGCCAATGGTTGATATACCAAGCATCAATACCATAACAGAAGCATCAAATATACAAAATTCTACAGAACAAAAATTGATTTCTGATAAGAATTTGATACCAAATATGGATCCGCCACCGCAGAAACAAAAACCACAAATTTCAGTCGTCAGCCTTGAGAAATTAATTAACAAAGATCACAAATACAATCAGGGCTCACTAGTCAGACATTCTGGTGTTGGTCAATTTCAAAAATTCCAAATTTTGAGAAACACTGGACGAGCTGATCAAACAAACTGTTTCAACGTCCAACCTTCAAGAAGTAGTCAGACGTTAACAAGTACCAGTCAACGCTATCAACCAGATATTTGTAGATCTAAAAGTTCTACTCTTGACCAGCCCATGGAAGTCGAAAACTTGATACCTATTGAAAACGCTGGACAAGTTAATCAAACAAACTGTTTTAACGAGCTGCCTTTAACAAATAATCAAATGTTATCAAGTACCAGTCAGTGCTATCCATCAGAGTATTGGGAACGTAAAACTTTTTGTGTTGGACAGTCGCAAAAAGTCGAAAAGCTGACAATTGATAACACCAAGAAAGTTGATATATCAAACTTTTCCAACGTCCAGCCTTCATCAAGTAGTCATACGTTACCAAGTACTAGTCCATGCTATCAACCAGCAAATTGCAGATCTAAAAGTTCTAGTCTTGACCAACCAATAAATGTTGAAAATTTGATTTCTGTTGAAAACACTGGACAAGTTATTCAAACAAACTTTTTAAACAACCAGCCTTTAACAAATAATCAGACGTTACCAAAAACCGGTCAATGCTATCAACCAGAAAATTGTAGGTCTAGAAGTTCTAGTGTTGGCCAGCCCATGGAAGTCGAAAATTTAATATCTGTTGAAAACACTGGACAAGTTAATCAAACAAACTGTTTCAACAACCTGCTTTCGACAAATAATCAGACGTTATCTAGTACCAGTCAGTGCTACCAACCAGAAAATTGTAGATCTAGAAGTTCTAGTCTTGACGAGCCGATATATGTCGAAAATTTGATATTTGATGAAAACACTGGACAAGTTAATCAAACAAACAGTTTTAACGACCTCCCTTCAACAAATAATCAGACGTTACCAAATACCAGTCAATGCTATCAACCAGAAAATTGTAGATCTAGAAGATGTAGTGTTGACCAGCCCATAGATGTCGACAATTTAATATCTATTGAAATCGCTGGACAAGTTAATAAAACAAACTGCTTCAATGACCTGCTTTCAACAAATAATCAGACGTTACCAAGTACCAGTCAATGCAATCAACCAGAAAATTGTAGATCTAGAAGATGTAGTGTTGACCAGCCCATACATGTCGAAAATTTAATATCTATTGAAATCGATAGACAAGTTAATCAAACGAACTGCTTCAATGACCTGCTTTCAGCAAATAATAAGACGTTACCAAGTAACTGTCAATGCAATCAACCAGAAAATTGTAGATGTGGAACTTCTAGTCTTGATCAGCCGATAGATGTCGAAAAGTTGATATCTGTTGAAAACACTGGTCAAGTTAATCAAACAAACTGTTTCAACGACCTGCTTTCGACAAATAATCAGACGTTATCTAGTACCAGTCAGTGCTACCAACCAGAAAATTGTAGATCTAGAAGTTCTAGTCTTGACGAGCCGATAGATGTCGAAAATTTGATATCTATTGAAAACGCTGGACAGCTTAATCAAACAAACAGTTTTAACGACCTGTCTTCAACAAATAATCATACGTTACCAAGTACCAGTCAATGTTATCAACCAGAAAATTGTAGATCTAGGAGATGTAGTGTTGACCAGCCCATAGATGTCGAAAATTTAATATCTATTGAAAACGATGAACAAGTTAATCAAACTAACTGCTTTAACGACCCACTTTCGATAATTAATCAGACGTTAAGTACCAGTCAATGCTATCAACCAGAAAATTGTAGATCTAGAAGTTCTAGTCTTGACCAGCCGATAGATGTCGAAAATTTGATATCTGTTGACAACACTGGACAAATTAATCAAACAAATTGTTTTAACGGCCTGTCTTCAACAAATGATCAAATGTTATCAAGTACCAGTCAGCGCAATCAACCAGAAAATTGTAGATCTAGAAGATGTAGTGTTGACCAGCCCATAGATGTCGAAAATTCAATATCTATTGAAAGCACTGGACAAGTTACTCAAACAAACTGTTTTAACGACCTGCCTTCAACAAATAATCATACGTTACCAAGTACCAGTCAATGCAATCAATCAGAAAATTGTAGATCTAGAAGATGTAGTGTTGACCAGCCCATAGATGTCGAAAATTTAATATCTATTGAAATCTATAGACAAGTTAATCAAACGAACTGCTTCAATGACCTGCTTTCAACAAATAATCAGACGTTATCAAGTACCAGTCAATGCAATCAACGAGAAAATTGTAGATCTAGAAGTTCTAGTCTTGACCAGCCCATGGAAGTCAAAAATTGGATATCTATTGAAAACACTGGACAAGTTTATCGAACAAACTATTTCAACAACCTGCTTAGTAGGATTGTCAAGAAAAATCTATCAACCAATGAGAACAAGATATCTAATCTAGCTCGTTTGCCAATATCGGTTAGAATCTTGCATTTCGCAATAAGAATGCTCGTTATTAGGTTCCGGTTCATAAAACGTACCAAATGGACAAAAGAGGAGGTCAGAAAATTCCTGATAAAGGAGCTTATATTTCTGAACGATCGTATAATCTTCAAGAATGAAACTTCTGGCAAATATATGAGTAGACCAAATGCAGTCACTCTTTTACTTCATAGACAACTGCTTTTACCACAATTACCAAACCAAAATTCATCAATTGATCAAGATATTGAAAATCGTAATATTTTACAAGTATCCCAAAATTATTCTAGTGAAATAACAAGAACTGTCAGCAGTAATTTTTCAATTGGTTATCAGAGTGCAGACAACCAGGAAAATCAGCTTGAAATTTCAAGAAATTACTTTAGATATACTGATCAAGTATATAGCAAAATGTATGATTTAATTACTGCTGCTTTTCACACTCCAAATCCACATCTTGGATCAAATCCAATATTTAAACATGTTTTTGATGCTATCAAATCGCTGTTTTCAGCAACTAGTATGGATAAAGAAACTATTAAGGATTTACTAGAAATTTTATTTATATTAAAGGATGACATATCAACTTCTGATATGAGCGAAATGTGTAAAATTTTAAAGCAATGGGGAAAACAATATCAATGAAAGTAAAAATGGTTCAGAACAAAGGAAAACTTTGGAAAACCAAAAACGCAGTGCTCAAAACTCAGGAAGCTCGCGCAACGAATTCCTTCAGAATCAACAAAGTGAGGATCTTGGTTTTAACGCATCAAACTTTGCAATGTCACAAACTTTGGACAGCCAGGCAAGGCAGAAATAGATAGATTTGACAGCAATGCAGTTATTAGTCCTACCGAGCAAAACCAAGCAAGAATTTTTGATAATATAAACCATGATAATACTGACTTCGAAAATTCGATATCTATTGAAAACGCTGGACAAGTTAATCAAACAAACTATTTCAACAATCTGGCTTCAACAAATAATCAGACGTTATCAAGTACCAGTCAGTATTGTCAACCAGAAAATTGTAGATCTAGAAGTTCTAGTGTTGATCAGCCGATAGATGTCGTTAGTATAGATCAGCCAATAGATGTCGAAAATTTTATATCTATTGAAGACGCTGGACATCAAACAAACTGTTGCAACAACCTGCCTTCAACAAATACGTTATTAAGTACCAGTCAATGTAATCAACCAGAAAATTGTAGATCCAGAAGTTCTAGTGTTGATCAGCCGATAGATGTCGAAAATTTGATACCTATTGAAGACGCTGGACAAATTAATGAAACAAACTGTTTGAACAACCTGCCTTCAACCAATAATCAAACGTTATCAAGTATCAGTCAGTGCTATCAACCAGAAAATTGTAGATCTAGAAGTTCTAGTGTTAGCCAGACGAGAGAAGTCGATAATTCGATATCTATTGAAAACGTTGGACAAAATAATCAAATAAGCTTCTTCAATATCCGGTCTTCAGGCTCAAGTAGACAGACAAATCATTTAACCGTCACCATTGAAACCAATGTTACGAATTTAAACCAGAATGTTAACTATTCTGTTGACAACGATAATACCCAATCCGTAATTTCCATATCAACCACTTCCGCGCCACCGAAAAAGCGCAAACGTACACCTAACAATAAAAGTAACGTAAAAAAAAGAAAGTACTTTGAATGCCAACGTTGCAAGACGCTTTTTGTAGAGGACGAAGAGTTCAAGGAACATATAAAAATCCTAAACCAGCAAGGAAACTGCACCTCATCCACAGAAATTCTGCAAACTTCTTCAACTGATCCGAAACAATACACTTGTCACGTTTGTCTGAAGACATTCACCAACGTCATGTACTTCGAGTGCCATATGCAAACTCATAATGAACAAATTAATCACAAATGTCAAATTTGTAATAGAACGTTTACTTCGATTTATAAATATGACAAACATATGATGTTTCATACTTTGCAAATGAAGGCGGTTGTCAATCCTGATGTTATCACCATTGATGACGATGATGAATAAATGATGATGAAAAGACCGAGCCTTCGAAATCCAACTATAGTGGCCACTTAAAAACTGACAAGAACATAAGTATCCTTAAATACATATTTTATCTCATCTAACGCATTTGCAGTAAATATTTGTTACAAGGTGCAGATTCAAAGATGTCTACTTACTTCTTTAGAACAAATGGTAAAATCAAGAACTTTAGATGTCATGTACGAGCTTTAGTATTGGTATAGAAATTTTGGAACCTTGATCATCAACTTTACCAGGGCAATGTCCACTAGCAGTAAATAGACATCTAAAAATGGCTAAACGACTTAAGAGAATTTTAGGACCTTGATCATCAACTTCACCAGAGCAATGTCCACTAGCAGTAGACATCTAAAAATGGCTAACCAACTCAAGAAAATTTTAGGACCTTGATCATCAAATTTACCAGGGCAATATCCAATAGCAGTAAATAGACATCTAAAAATGGCTAACCAACTCAAGAGAATTTTGGAACCTTAATCATCAACTAAATAGCTAACCAACTCAAGAGAATTTTTGGATCTTGATTATCAACTTTACCAGGGCATTGTCCACTAGCAGTTAATAGACATCTAGAAATGGCTAACAAATTCAAGAGAATTTTAGGACCTTGATCATCAACTTTACCAGGGCAATATCCAATAGCAATAAACAGACATCTAAAAATGGTTAACCAACTCAAGAGAATTTTAGGATCTTGATCATCAACTTTACCAGAGCAATATCCACTAGCAGTAAATAGACATCTAAATTGGCTAACCAACTCCAGAGTTATTACTAAATTTACAAAAATATTAGAATTAAGTTGCGTCCAAAGCAGTTGTGGCAAATCTTAATTAAAGAAAGGTCTAGATTTTTGGATTTCTGATATCGGAACTCAAGAGAATTTTAGGACCTTGATCATCAACTTTACCAGAGCAATGTCCACTAGCAGTAAATAGGCATCTAAAAATGGTTAATCAACTTAAGAGTTATTACTAAATTTACAAAAATATTAGAATTAAGTTTTTTGTTGCGTCCAAAGCAGTTGTGGCAAATCTTAATTAAAAAAAGGTCTAGATTTATGGATCTCTGGTATTGTCACCAACTTAGTTATTAAATTAGTTATGTGTTGTTGTTTATTAAAACTTATAATATAATATAATATTTAATCACATACAACTAGTTTTTTTTAAATTATTTTGATTTATTATAATTTTGAGTGTATAAATATACATGTATAGAAATATAACTAAACTGACCTCAAATATTTTCTTCTCCTTCATGTTGCAGCTTGTTTAAGTTTTTTGTTTGAAAAAAAGTTTCATGGTGAAAAAAACTGCTGCAGGATCTGTAAAAAATAATTAGAACTGTTTTTTTTATTCAATACAAAATTATATAAATGATATATTTTAATATAAAATGAATTTATACATACATACATACATACATTATGTATGTATGTATGATACATACATACATACATATGTATGTATATGTATGTATATATGTATGTATGTATATAAGTATATATCAAGTCACGCTTTGTTAGATATTGCTCAAAAAGTTCCCATCATTAAAATTTATGTGCAAGCTGCATAAATGCACATGTGCATCTAGTATCTTTTATATAAATTTATATATATATATATATATATATATATATGTGTGTGTATGTATGTATGTTTAACATCAAACCAGATCTTACTCCATAAGTTACAACATCAAATTTTGTTTCATCATCAGTGTCATCAGTTCTTCTACCCAATTGTGTACATTATATGTATTATTATTAATGGGCAGTAGAACCCCATTAAGAGAATCATGTTTTAAACAATATCTCGCATAATACGCCACTTTCCACAGCTCCCTGCATTTTGAAAAAAAAATCCCTATGCTGCATAGGGATAAGCCCCATGCTCGCTTAAGAAGTCTTTTTATATAAAAGACTAATAAAGTGCTATGTCTGGAGCATAGCTCTGTACGGATCAGAGACATAGACTCTGAGAAACGCCGACAAGAACTACCTGGAGATTTTAGAAATGCGGTGCAGAAGATAAAGTGGACAGACAAGATAACAAATGAAGAAGAATGCAGATGGTTGACGACTTACGTGAGAAGAAAAAATACAGGGAACTGAAAGCTGAAGCGCAGAATCAGGAAGCATGGAAGCACAAGTTCGGAAAGAAAAAGAAAGGAATGGTGGTAATGGGAATGATAGACAACAAAAGGCAAGGAAATCATTTATTTGTGATGGCTCTCACACCATGGACCTGCCATCGAGCAGACAACATTTATTATTACTATTATTATATATATTATAATTACACATTTTACAATCACGAACACGTCAAAAAATCTTATTTTTCCCTCAAGATTCAACAGAAAAAAATAAAAATCTATCCAGCACAAACGAAGAAGGATACAACATGGAAGACACCCAGTAATTTAATAATTTGCTTTCGTTTCGCCTTTTTTCTTAATTTGATTTAAAGGATTATTTCACACTGTAAACGATAATAATATAAGGTTTTGAAGAAATATATAATTAAACTAGTGGTGCATGGCATCGTGCTGGAACTTACTGCATCAAAAATTTAATTTTTTAAAACAAATATAATTTTTTTTCAAAATTTTGATAAAAATAGATTTTAGAGAATTTTTGAACAAAATGGACTTTTTTGAAAAATTTGAATTTCTTTTTATTTCTTGAATTTTGATCTTGAAAGCAATCACGCTGCATAGATATTTTAGAGTCTATTTAGTTTAGAGAATTACATATTCGAATCCTTACCCTTCGGAAAGTTAAAAAATAAATTTCGGTACAGAAAGTTCCAGAAATTTGCCTTTAGGCACGATACCATGCACCATTAGTTAACTTTCCGTAGAGTAAGTTATAGTAATCGCAAAAAAAAAAATTATTTATCTTTACGTTTCAGAGGTTTCTGAATGTTTTGGCATACCTTAGAAAAAATTGATGTATGTGTGTGTGTGCGTGTGTGTATGTGTTTTCGGATACAAATTTTCGTCGACAATTTCGGGAACACGGATGAAGCGATTTGAATAATTAAAAAAACATTCGATTCGTATTGATAAGGAGACGTGCTGATTAGTTTTTGGCAAAGGCAGGTCTAGCCGTTCCGAAGATATGGGGCAAAAAGTGCCAAAAACGGTAACTCAGTTTTTAAGAGAACGGAGCGTCCGATTTGAATAATTCAAACAAGATAAAGAGCTGATCAAATTTTCATGAAGGCAGGTCTAGCGGTTTCGGAGATCTAGTAAAAAAAGTATTAAAAAAAGCCATTTGGCGATCAAAAATGATCATTAGACATATGCACATCAAATTATCAGATATTTTATAGAGATTTTAACAATAAGTATAAATTTTGTTTACATTCCTATGGGTTCAGTACCAATGCTTATCCGTTAGACGGCGACGAAGCGCTTACGCGCTTTGACATTTCGTCTCTGTGCAGTTAAAGCAGTACGATTGCTTTGAAAAAAAGTTCAGAATTTCCAAAATATGTCAAAATAAAGAAAACATTTTTTTTCAATAAAAAATTTTTATTCAAAAAAAAGTTGTTTTGTGTCAAATTTATATAATAGTTTTTCAAAAATCTAACTTTTTTTAAGTAAAACTTTTGCCTTTAGGCACGATACCATGCACCACTAGTTTTTATTATATTTCGTTTCGTGTGAAATAACCTCTACAAAAGCCGGGAGCTAAACACGCAACAGAGAATGCACGAAAAAATATCGAAGAGAAGAAATAAGGAGAAAAACCAAAAAAACCAAAAAAAAAATCGTAACGATCTTGAATTATCTCTCTGAACAAATTATTGGGTACACGAAAGGAGGATTTAGTAAGAGAGCTGGAAGGAATTGAATAAACTAAAATGTATAAAATAAATATAATACAGATAACTTGGTGTAAGTGGCATTTTGCTTTAAAGCAAGTTTTCAAAAGCCGTCCAATATGTGTAAATAATTAAATACAATTGAGATTTAGGAGCTGATTCTTTGATAAAATAGAAATGTTACCATACCAACGGTTGGCATAACAACTATGTGACATTTATATTTTTTAGGCCGAAAACTAATCACCACTTCTCCCCATCATTACAAATTGAATGTTTTTTGAATCATTCAAGTCGGATGTACCGTTCTCTCAAAAACTCGATTTCTATTTTCTCCACTCTTTGCTCCGTATCTCCAAAACTTCTGGACCAACTTTTGCTAAAAACTAATCAGCACGTCTCTTAATCAAAAGGAATCGATTGCTTTATGAATCATTCAAATCGGTTGACCGGTGTCGACAAAAAATTGTATCCACAAATACACACACATCAATTTTTTATAAGGTATACCAAAATGTTCAAAAAGCTCTGAAACGTGAAGATATGCAAAAATTTTCGATATTTGGACGATTTCTTAATTTACCTTACGGGAAGTTAAAAAGTTATTTGACGGACCCTTTATAGTTTTAAAGTGCAATTTTGTAGCAACAGCAAAATTCGTACAAAATTTTTGCATAGATAAACTTTGTGGATAATTTTATCAGCTATAAGTTCTCCAAATACAAATTATAGCTATAAATAATAGCTTATTAATTATGACTAGAACTATAAAAAATTTTTTTTCAATTTGCACTTGCATTAGTGTTTGTTTTGTGTGTGTTTCATATGTGTGTATGTCGGGATATATAAATAAATATGTATATACATATTTATATATATGTATACATATATAATATAATTATAGATATATCTGTTGAATCTAGGCCTATTCGAGTCATAATAAATAACCCGTTAGGTTTAGTCGTTACCACGTTCTAGAGATTTTAGTCATCTTATTATATTTCTGCAATTTCAGTTTCTTGTTGCAAATTTATATAAATATATATATATATATATATATATAAAGTCAATTTTACTGTTTGATCCCATTCAATATAAATAACTTTGAAATTGCACCTTGTTTTATACTTAAGAGTGCTTATGCAATTTTATTATCAAGCTTAAAATGGGTTGGGGCATTTTTATATATTTTGAATCATAACTACAAAAATACGACTTTTAGCTAAAAACTGTATTTAGAAAATTTGTAGCTGACAAAATTGTCTAAAAATTTTATATAGATAAAAATTTTGTACGAGTTTCAGTTTTGTTAAAAAATTGCGTTTAAAATTGCTCAACATTTTTTATATTTTGCTTCATAATTGATAATTATGATGCATAATGATAATTTCCTTGAATATTTATTTCTAGTGCGGGAAGTTCTAGCAATTTGCCTTAACATTATCCTTGATATGTAATATTATATTAATTCTGTCCTTTATGAACTGAAGATGAGTCAAATAAGGACTCGAAAAGTATATGATTGAATTTTGAAAAACAGTCGCATTATGTATCTTAAAATCCTTCTGTAATGATGTATGTAAATTTACTCCTCCTAAACGATTATTCGGATTTTGATAAATCTTTCTGGAGTTTGTTAAGGAAATTTTTTAGGATGTATGTGATTATAAAAATATAGTAATATTGCAGAAATTAATGGAAAAAATTGTAAAAAACGACATGTCATTGGAAATATTTGAGTCATTGTTTGACATTGAAAACAAATGAAAACTTTCATCAGCCAAAAATTTCAATTTGCTTATGAGCCTAGATAATATTAGAATATGTATAATAAATTCATGATTATGAATAAGTAAACTACTATCATCAGCTAAAAACTGTATTTAGAAAGTTTGTAGCTGACTAAATAGCCTAAAAAAGTTTGTATAAACAAAAATTTTGTACGAGTTTTAGTTTTGTTAAAAAAATGCTCAACATTTTTTTATATCTTGCTTCATAATTGATAATTATGATGCCTAATGATAATTTCCTCGAATTATTTCCAGTGCGGGAAGTTCCAGCAATTTGCCCTAAGGCACGATGCCATGCACCACTAGTTAAATATCATATTTTACAAAATCATACACCGATGTATTTTGTACACTAATATTTTAATTGGCCACCTGTTGCTATAGGCATATATAATTGTATATACATATATACATATATATGTATATATATGTATATATGTATATATGTATATATGTATATAATAGTGTTATAATATATAAGTAATTTTCAGAACATTAAGAATGATTCAAGAGTCAGTTTTCGTTCCGGTTAGGTGCCTTTGACTTCCGTTCAATACATATATAAATGTTATACATATACAAATATACAAATTATGTATATGTATGTATGTATGTATATATGTAAGTATGTATGGATGTATATAAATGTATATATATACACGTAA